GCTGGTTATGGAAGGAGTTTTTGTCTTCCCCCAGGAGATCTAGGACCAATTGTCTTCCTTGCACTGTTTGTTCTGCTGGTCAGAAGAGGTGGACTTCACATGACTCTAAACTTGGGGACTGTGCACCTGGCATGCAGGAGTGGTGTAACCAGACAGTGAGTGTGTGAGAATGGAGGCTGGCCACTTCTGATCACCAGGTGAGTGATACAACCAAAGGGAGAATCACACCTGTCTGGTGTCAGTCACAGGTGTGCATGGTCTTGCTCCATCCCATTGACCTGATTAAACTTTGCAAAAGTTCAAAATGGTCATGCTGTGTGAGATCAGATGTTCTATCTGTCTTATCTTTCACCAATTTTGTTCTATTTCTTCTCCTAGTCTGTATTCAGTCCACTTCTTTACCCTTTTCTCAGGTCAGGGTGCCTCGATTATCATTCATATCTGCTTCATTTGTTCTCATGTGTCTTCGTTATACAGAGTTTGCGTAGGGAGTCTACCTAGTCCATCATCTTGCCGAAAGTTCTCTCATTGCAAACTGAAGATAAGAAGGGTATATAGCTTTCCAATTTAGCAAATATGTCACTTTAAAAATTGGTTTTATAAGTAGAATTTTGGCAAACTGGTTTGCTTTTCAACTCTCCTAGTTCCTACCATGGAGTCAATACTAACTAGCTTTCTTCAGAATAATAGACAGATACCAGTTTTAGACACAAATAAAGTTTTGGAAAACATAGCTTCCTGTTTTTATAGCAAACTAATGTATGTTCCTTGATTTCTCATTTTTCAGGTAAAGAAATAGAACCACAATTAGATTAAGTAGACTCTGCAAGATCTAACTTATGGGCTCCAAAGTTCATATTTCAACAAAAACATCGTCATACATTTTCCCCCATACAATTTTATTAAGAACACTGATGTTTGTTTTGCTAATATACATTAAGTATTAATTTTTCTCCTGAAATCTTAAGAATTGCTATAATTCAGTCATGACAAGAAGAGGTATGAGTTTATTAATTATTAGCATAATACTTAAAATTATTATGCTTTTAACTGCATATGTGTTAATATATTTATACAGTTGGTGTCACCTAGAGTTTTAACGTAGTGTCACCCTCCTGCTCCAGACTCCCTTTCTATAGCAGACGATACTGAATCCAAATAGTAATGCTTATTATCAATTTTAATTATAGAATAATATCTAATATAGTTGCAAATTTCTCAAATTATATGCTTAGGTCATATGAATACTAACAAGAAAATTGTTTTGTAAATTATTTCTACATTAAATTACAATATGAATTACAACATTATTAACAATTGAACGAAGTCTTTAATTTTCTCCTTTTTCTTTAACTAATGCATAATTTTCAAAAGTTATTGATATAGGTTCACAAATAGTACCTACTAAATTTTGCATCTACTAAGTTTGTAGCTAAAACATCAGAAATTTTAACAAATTCAGCGACTATAAAATGACCAAAAGCAATGAAAACAACAGTGCATGCTTGTAAATGTTTAAATAAAGCTATGTGACTTAAAGCATGACTGTAACTGAGTAAAAGTGATATCTCTGATTGAAATGCATTAGAAAGTTCAAAGAGCATATTAGCATACAGTTGGAGCCCTTTAGGTATACTTATACTTGTAAGCTGGGTTTAAAAAAAGTGTTTTCGCTGTTATACCTACCTAAAGGGATGTTTTTATAACAAAAATAATAAATTTTTCTGGAACACTGCAGAAAACTTATATAGAAAGGCATTTTGCTGTCAGTCTCTCTGGCAGTGTGTCCCAGTGTGGTTGGCACCCGCACATGCCCCTACAGATGACACTGTAAAAGAAGAAGACTTGAGGTATTAGCTGATGAAGATCAAAGACCACAGCATTCAGTATGGTTGCTATCATTAAGCACCATTTAGTCAGGTAGACTAATAGAGGCCCTGTACAGGGTCTCCAAGGAGTGGCTGGCGAGTTTGAACCACTTCAATATAAGGAAAATGATAACCCAGCAAGTTTCTGGTTCAAACCAACCTTGTAGTTCAGTGCTTATCCTATTTTGTTGTTAAATGTTGTCGAATTGGTTCTGACCCATAGTGATCCTGTGTAAGGTTTCCAAGGAGCAGCTGGGACTAATTCTTAGAGAAGAACATCATGCTCAGTAAAATGGTCATAAAAAAAAAATCCCACAAAAATATGCCGAAATCTCTATTGTTTTTAGAGAAGGATTGACACAGTGGCATCAACAATGGGTTCAAGCATACCGACTATTGTGAAAATAGCAAATGACTGGAAAATGTTCCCTTCTGTTGTGATTAGGGTTGCTATGAGTTGGAACTGACTCAACTGTACCTAGCAATAACACTCCTTATTGGTCTAACATTGTTTTTTGATGCATCTCTTCTACCTCCTTATTTGTCTCCTAGTGTTTGGGTCTTAAAAAATTGAAAGCAATAATCCAACATGTAACAACTTGTTTCTCTTTGCCTGGAACAACAGAGAAGGAAGGAAAGTCAGGAATTAAAATGCATGACTAATTGTCTCCATGAACAGTGAACACTTTTGCTATGAATCCAAAGAATTGGATGGTGCCTGGCTATCATTACCGAATATTTTGTTTAGCAATTCTATAGAAGAACCTTGATAAAAGTGGTGAAAAATAAAATAGAATTTCAGTTTCTCATGGAATCCAGAATTTCCATACCCATGGAGATTGGATGAACCCTCAAAACAACCTCCCTGAGAAACTCTTTAGCCCTGAAACAATACACCAAAAATATACCCAGAAGTCTTTTTTAAAGCAAGCAAAACTTTAGTTTAAGTAGTAAAAAAAAAAAAAAAAAAGTCTGTCATGAATATTGTGCTCTTTAAAATAATTTACTATGTAATATCAGATTGTTAACAGCAACTCCAAAGGTTAAACAGAAAGCTTGGGGAAAGTGAATTCATGTCAATAATGGAGGACCAAATCAGAAAAGGAGGGTAAGAAGACTCACGTCAAACCTACTCTCATCGAGTCTTTTCTGACTCATAGTGACCATATATATGGTTTCTAAGTCTTTACTAGTAGATAGCCTCAACTTTCTATTGTGGAGAGGCTGGTGGTTTTGAACCAATGACCTCATGGTTAACAGCCCAATGTCTAACCTACCAGGGCTCCTTACATAGGATGAAAGTGGCTTACAATAGAAAATACTTATTAAGAAGACCTGACTACATGAAGAAGTGAGCACCAAACATACTCTGCTGGAAACTGAAGTGGCCAGAGTTTCCTGAAGTTAGAGACAAGCATGCCCAGATACATCTTAGATGCCACTGTGTTGTCTACAAAAAAGTATCTGCCAAAAATCCAGTAAGAATAGTATTTTTTTTTTTTTTAAAGAATTGAACTTTTGACATCCCATTACATGCTTATTTGGAACATATTGGTTTCATAGTATCAAACAGATGCTTATTATAGAGATTCATTTTTTTTCATCATGATAAGATGAAACACCACTATGATTATGAGGCAGCCTGCTAAGTCATCTTTATCTCTCATGTAACTCTAAAATTGCAACAGAAGTTGTATTGTCCCTTAAGCCAGAAGATAGTAAAGGTTATAAATTATCTCTCCAGATTAATGAAGAATTTTTTGAACATGTATTGAGGCAAACTTATCTCTATATTTCCTAAGATTTCATAGAATGATAATGTAATTCAATTTTGCCAAGTAGCCCCATGTTCTGTTTTTAGAAATATATTCTGGTCTATCAAAAATCAGTGTGTAGGACACTTTGGCAATGTATTTGTACGAGAAAATTTAGAAAAACATAAGTGTATCTATACAATTTGGTTTATGTATGTTCATTTGTAAACTTTCTGTAAAATAGTTCTGTCTTGAATGTATTTAGTTCCTTTTCTCTTAACCTGGAATGGCAAGTTTCTTAGTAAAGAAGATTCCTCCTCAATGCTCTTCTTTTGAAAACATTTCTTGATTATTTTTTAACATTTCTCCTTGCCTATAATTTTTAAGGTAATTCTATCTAACAATAAAGCAATGCTGTTTCACCGTTATTACTATCCTTTTCTAAAATCCTCCTCCACAATTAACATAAACCCAGTGCCCTCCAAACACAAGCTGTTATTTCCCCATCCCTCCCACTCCTGCTAACCACTAATCATCTTTGCTTTCTATTTATTTGCTTATTTCATACATGTCAAGTTCATACAGTATTTGTCCTTTTGTGCTAGATTCATTGAGTTCTTCATAATGTTTTCAAGTTTATCTATGCTGTGGCATATACCAGAACATTAATTCTCTTAAGTTGCTGTTGTTAAGTTCCGTCAATTCAGTTGCAACTCATAGTGATCCTATGTGGGTTTCCAATGAGCGACAGTTGGGTATGAACCCCAACATTGTAGTTAGCAGACCAACACTTATCCTACAGTGTCACACAATGGCATGATTTTCTACCATACATATATTATCACATTTTATTTATGTATTCATCTCTAGAGGGACTTTTGGTTGTTGTCACCACTTGGCTATTATAGAAAGTGTTGCACTTTTAGATTTTAAACTTCCTCTATGTGTTTAAATTTAGAGTTGCATGTATGACTCATATAATTTTTGCTGTTGTTGTGAAGTGCCATTGAGTCGGTTCCAACCCATAGCGACCCTGTATAGGGTTTTCAAGGAGCAGCTGGTGAGCTTGAACTGCCGACCTTGAAGTTCAAATGTCTTTGCAGTCTGGCACATTAACCCACAGTGCCACACCAGGACTCCAGTAGAATAAGTGGTATTTAATTGAAACAATGCCATGAATATCACTGTTTTAGTGAGATCTAAGATAACGGAAATTAAATAATTTAATCAAAGATACAGTAAAAATTAGGATTATGCTTCAGAATTAGGTTTATCTAAAATAAATACCATCACTTTTCCATTAAATGAATAGGACCACAAGATATAATATTCCAATTACTATATGCTAAATGATTAGGTAACTCTGTATAGTAAGTATTTATAGATTTTCATCTAGCCAACTAATATACTTATCTTTTAGTCTAATTCCTATACGTAAATGCACCATTGATCCCATATACGCCAGTGCTCCATGGAATCCATTCTCTATATGGTCATGAGTAACTTGAACACCAACATTTCGCAGTCGTGTGACATACATAAGTCCATCATCTCTTAGGATATCATACTGGCAGGTAAGGATATAGGTTAGTGGCAATTTTTGTAACTCAATATCACTGACCAATAAGGGTGATAACCTACTATCCATAAGTGCTGGATTTCTGAAGTCATATCTTCCCAGAATTGGTTCTGAGTAAACATGGTTCTTTTTAAACTTTTCAGGAAGAAAGATACTCCAGTTAACGAATTTGAACAGATGTCTTGATTCCTCAGGCATATGCTGATTTGCTTCAACTGCTTCGATACATCTTTTATCCGTGGTCAAATATAGACATTCAAGCTGAATCCCCAAATCCTTTGATAGTATTGGACCATATTTATTTTCTTGGTAAGATGGTGTGGAGGTATCAATTATCTGTAAGTGAGGGTATAACAAAGCTTGTGCCTTAATTTTATCTTTGAATTCTGGATTATTCTGCATCTGAAAGAACACAGCAAAAGTGAGTCATTTTAAAGCACCTAAACTTTAGAAGATCCCTGGTGTGGCACTGTAAGATAAGCACTGGACTGTTAACTACAAGGGCAGCAGTTCAAACCCACCAGAAATTCTTGGAGACACTATAGCAAAATATTATAAGTCAGAACCAACTTGACGTTACACAACAACAACAAACTTTAAGAGGAGAAAGTATTACTCCCATCTTATGAGCATTTATTGTTGTTGTTGTTGTTAAGTGCCATCAAGTCATTTCTGACTCACAGAAACCCGTTATAGAGTTTCTGAGGAGATGCTGGTGAGTTTGAACTGCTGACCTTGCAATTCAAACCAAACTTGCAGTCCAGTTCATTATGCCACATTGTCACACCAAGACTTCATGAGCAGTTGTAGGTATATAAAATTATACCAATTAAATCAATATTGTAGTAAACTGAATATGGCAACACAGATATGTCAGATCATAATGTCTGGAAATTGCAAATGTTACCTTATTTGAAAAATGGTATTTGAAGATGTGGTTAAATAAAGAGTATTCGGTTGAAGAGATCATCCTCTATTACATTGGTAGACCATAGTTGCAATCACATGTCTTCTTATCAGACAGAGGTATGGATGATTTGACACACACACAGAGGTAAAGGCACTATGAAGCTAGAAACAGAAGCTGGATTGCTGCAGTCACAAGTGAATACACACCAAGGAATGCTGGCAGCCACCACAAACTACAAGAAGGAAGGATCAGATTCTCCTCCTAAATTTTCCATAGAAAACATGGCCCTGCACTCAACTACTCTTCTTGCCTTCAAGGACCATTCAAAGTAGTAGCTTCCATGGATACCAGTGCTTGGTATTTAGCTTGTTCCAGAAAACCTGAAGCAATACAGAATACTACCAAATAGCCCTGAACAAGGACAGGTTACCCAGTAAGCAAGGTAAGCATGTTTTAAGGCATCAATAAAACAGGGTCACCAGTTGCCCAAAGTGAAGTACCTTAGATGCCAAGCACACAAGACACATGAAAAAAATGAGTACATCAGTGGAAGGGAAGGGAAATTGATTCCAGTGACAGAGTGTGAGAATGTACTGTCTAAATAAAAAGTTCACGGAGCATACGAAGAGCACCCCCACACAAGGTTGTTTAAGATATGACACCTCTAACACTTCAACAACTTCATTGACATCTGTCTTCTATGGTACCCTCCCAAGTTGAAACTATTTATTTCAGTATGCCTCTTGGCTGTATACTATTTCCTTCTAATAAAATAAAGAGCTAACGATGGACTGTTGAGTCTTGTTACATTCAGTCAATTTGCTACTGGGTCCAACATGAACCGTTACTAGGCAAGGACAAAATATATTAATACATTTTGAGAAAACCTGTCTTGTATATCCACATCAGCTGATGAAGCAGAACCTACCAGCAATGCTATTTGCCATGATACAAATGCAAGGTTATATATATACTCTTTCACACGTCCTGGTAAACAACAAATGGCAAAGAGAGTCCCAGACTCTGTGCCAAAGCAAAGCTAATGTGAATAAGTAGACTATTGCAAAGAATTCTGTTAAGTCATGTTTCAACTGTACAGCATTTATGGACACAGTTATGTTCTACTTGTTGGCAGCAATAACATTTATAATTTGAAATTTAGAAGTATCCTTGGCATACTCCCAAATGTAATGTGTTGTTGCTGTTGTTATTGTTAAGTGCTGCTGAGTTGGTTCTCTGACTCATTGTGGTCCTGTGTAGGGTTTCTAAGGAGTGTCTGGTGGGTTTGAAAACCAGCCCTGCAGCAAGCAGCCCAGTGTTACCTTACAGTACCACACCAGGATTCCAGATGCAATTTAGCATACATTTAATATATTAATATAGACAATAACATGCCCAAAAAATATGTCACTGGGAAAGGATATCACGCTTGGCCAGCCAAATAGAGTAAGACCCTCAGTGAGATGGATTGGCACAGTGCTACAACAATGTGTTTGAACATAATAACAAAGGTGAAGATGGCAGTGTTTTGTTCTGATGTTGCTGTAAGTCAGCATCTAAGCAAAAAAACAACATAGATAATAATTTAATATGCAGTGGACCTTTGAAGAACACAGGGGTTAGGAGCACCAATTCCCTATGCAGTTATAAATTCACGTATAACTTTTGACTTCCCCAAAACTTGACTACTAATATTCTACTCCTAAGCATAAAGTCAATTAACACATAAAAGAGGGTTTCATAAAAGTTCGTGGAGAAATGGAATTAAAAGATAATAGAATTTTTCAATGAACTTTTTGAAGTTCCCTCTTATTTTTGTTTGTTCTATGTATTATATCTTTCACACACATAAAACTTGCATTTTCAATATAAAATAAAAAGACATTTCACAAAGAAGTACAAGATTTTTGTGTCTGCTTGAATAGCTGCAGCAACAATTACACAAACTTTCTTTCATTTTAAAAAATGGTCTTCATACTAGATTCATTTATCTCAAAATGGCCAACTGCAGATCTCAATCTATGGTACATATCAAGAGTTCAACTTTTCTCTTAATGTCATGACTTTTCTCTGTTTCTTAGGTACATTTCCAGCATCTAAGTATGGAACCCATAGTGTTATTCAAGGTAGTGTGTTAAACAAGATGAAAAATATACAAGAGCTGCAAGACATCACATTTTACTATGATAAGCAATTTCCTGGGGGGACAAAGTGTTCATATAGAGATGATTAGTGTCACATGGTGTTTCTAAGAAGACCCATGTATAAGTGGGTCTGCTATGTAATTCAAGGGTCAAGCATAATACTTACATTGCAAATGACTAAAAAACCTGGGTTTTTTTTTTTTTTTTTTTTTTTTTTTGGTAGAATAGATGAAATATTCTTCATGTAGAAAATGTGATGCATAGTAAAAATATTAGTATGATGCATTCACTAAAATGTTATAATCCAGTTCATATCATTGCACTGAAACGGCATATACCACTTGTATATTAGATTTCTAATACTATAGTCATATTTTAAAGGAAGTTACATCATGGATAGCTACAACACAGTGGGGTTCATTCATGGTGGCTTGTTATTTATCAAGATACAGTCATACTCTCTACATATTGGTATGCATTGAGTTGTTATTGTTGTTGTTAAGTGCTGTCCAGTTGGTTCTGACTCATAGCAACTCTGTATAGGGTTTGTGTGGAACAGCTAGTGGATTTGAACCACTAACCTTGCAGTTAACTACCCAGTGTCTATGGGAAAAATACTGAATGAAGCAGAAAGCATCAAAGGAAGATAGAAGGAATACATAGAGTACATAGAGTAACAACAATAAATGATCAATGTTCAACTGTAGCATATGATCAGGAACAGAAGGAAGAAGTTCAAACTGCACTGAAATTATTGGCAAAAAACAAGGCTCCAGGAATTGGTGGGATACAAATTGAAATCTTTCAACAAACTGATATGGCAAAGAGGCACTCAACTAACCTGTGCCAAGATATTTGGAAGTCAGCTACATGACCGACCAACTGGAATAGATTCATGCCCTTTCCAAAGAGAGGTGACTCAATAGAAACAGAACAAGGGAACACTGAATGGACAAAATTAAGCAAAGATTTGCACCAGGAATGCTTTCTTTCATCAAACATATTCAAGCTGTATGCTGAGCAGATACTCCTACAAACTGGATTATACAAAGAAAAACATGGCATCAAGGTTTAGGAACACTCATTAGCAACCTGCGATATGCATATGATACAACCTTGCTTGCTGAAATGGAAGACGGACTTAAAGTACTTACTGATGAAGATCAAAGATCACAGCCTTCATTATGGAATGCACCTCACTATAAAGAAAACAGAAGTCCTTACAACTGGACCAGTAAATAACATCATGATAAATGGAGTAAAGATTTAAGATGTCAAGTACTTCAGTTTGCTTTGATCCACATGGAAAAGTGGAGGGACAGCAACTTAGAGGAATGACCCCAAGCAAATGTACCAGCACAGTAGCAGCAGCCATGGGTTCAAGCACAGCAACCACTGTGAGGGTAAAGCAGGACCAGACAGTATTTGTTCTGTTGCGCATAGGATCGCTATGAGTTGCAGCCAATTCACGTGCACCGAACAATAGCAACAACAGCAACTGCTACTCCTAATTTCCTTCCACAGGGACAAAGGGTTGGGAGGATGGAATTATGCAATGAACCAAATCCAGTTTCCAAATGTATTGATTATTTAGAAAACTAACAATTAACTTTACAAAGCAAGAGTATCAACATGAGACCAAAATTATCTTCTATTCTTTTGTATATATGACTTACATGTTACATAATGGCACTTTCTAGTATTTCACAGCCTTCAGTATGGATTGCACCACAATGTAAAGAAAACAAAAAGCCTCACAAACAACTGTACTAATATATCATGATAAATGGAGAAAAGATTGAAGTTGACGAAGACTTCGTTTTGCTTGGATCTACTATCCACACTCATGGAAACAAGAGTCAAGAAATCAAATGACATATTGCATTAGGCAAATCTGCTGCACCGTAGCTCTTTAAAATATTCAAAAGCAAGGGTGTCAGTTTGAGAACTAAAGTGCACCTGACCAGGCCAGGGTATTTTCAATAGCCTCGTATACATGTGAAATTTGGACAATGAATAAGGAATACCATAGATGGACTGATGCATTTGAGTTATGATGTTGGAAAGAATATAAAAAGTACCATGGATTTGCAGAAAAATAAACAAATCTGTGTTGGAAGAAGTACAGATGGAATGCTTCTTAGAAGCCAGGATGGTGAGTCTTTGTGTCTCACACTTCAGACATGTTATCAAGAGGGATCTATCCTGGAGAAGGACATCATTTTGGTTAAGTGGTTGTGTGCCGTGGAGTCGGTTCCGACTCATAGCGACCCTGCACAGGGTTTCCGAGGCTGTAAATCTTTACGGGAGCAGAACGCCTCCTCTTTCTCCCGCGGAGCAGCTGGTAGTTTCGAACTGCTGACCTTAAGGTTCACAGCCCGATTCGTAACCACTACGCTACCAGAGCTCCTTTTGGTTAAGTGGAGGGTCAGAGAAAAAGAGGAAGACTTCCCCCCCACACCCGATTAAATGAATTAATACAGTGCCAGCAGCAATGGGTTCTAAAGTAGCAACAGTTGTGAGGATGGCACACAACAGTGTTTCATTGTGAGTTCGAACAGACTTGACAGCATCTAGCAACAACAATGTTCACAACAGGGGATACAACAATGCCTAATGCTTGGCAGTTTACAAAACACCTAAAGATGACAACAAAACCCCTGTCATATGAAATGGTAGTTCTGAAACACATAGAATGTTTTCTTAAAACTGACAGTGTACATAAGAAATTTATTTAGCATTATAGCTCCAATGCCTACAAAACAACGTTTAAAGGTAAAATTATACAATAAGGACTAATAAGGAATAAAGCGGCTCCCTTTTTGTATAGTAAAATACAAAACCTATTAAAGTAGTATAAACGAAATCATTTTATTGTGTCCAAATCACTGTGGGTGTCTGTGTGCACTGGATAACATACCAGTTGAATCACTTTTGTTGCAAGTAAACCTCCGCAACTATCTCCAGAAATACAGATTCGGGTGGGATCCACTCCATATTTTTCAAGAATTTTATCTTGTAGAAAGTGTTTAACTACAGCAAAGACATCATCCAAAGCAACAGGGAATTGATATTGAGGAGCTAGTCTGTAGCTTAAGAGGAAAAAAATAAAGCATGATTAATTTGGCTTGCATGCTTATATACATCCAAGTGTCTCTCATAACCATCAGATCTATTTAACAAAATTGGAACAGTATTTACTACTTATACAAATATATTTAAAATAATAAGTAGATTCTAGCATTTTGATGCTGTTGTAAAGTACCATAGAGTTAGGTCTGACTCATAGTGACCCCTTATAGGGTTTCCAAGGTTTTCAATCCTTATCTTTCTGCCTAGGAGCATCTGTCGATTTCTCCTAATCTCCCTTTATGGTCTGCAGCACAATGCTATTCTACAGACCTACTGCTGCCCAAATTCTAGTATAAAGATGTTTAAATTTTAGATTTATGAGGAAACAGGAGTCTCTGTGCACTCAACACATAGAATTATTTGCAAAATTCTCGTAAGAACTGAAATTAGTAGTGAAGATTCCCAAGGTCATTCCTCAGATGCTAGATGAAAGTTGTTATTGTTAAATGTCATTGAATTGGTTCCAACCCATAGCGATCCGTATAGGGTTGCTGAGGAGTGGATGGTAGGTTTGAACCACCAACCTTGTGGTTCAATCTAACTTAAATGAAAATTGTTGTTGTTGTTGTCAGGTGCCATCTAGTCGGAACCGACTCATAGTGACCCTATGCACAGCAGAACAAAACAATGTTCAATCCTG